ACATTTATTTGCTTTGTGATGCACTTTCCATGCAAACACAATAGCTGCATTGCACCCGCGGCGACGCCCAACGTGGCGTATACGTGTTTACCCAAGTGAACCACCTGTAACCGGTCGCAACGGCTAAATGTTTAATTGTTGCGTGCCACTACGCAGCGGCGGATGTGCACAAACACACACACATATATATATGTGTGGTAAGTATGTGGTGCTGCTTGCTTTGTGATCTTCGGGCCTTTGACGACATCCTAACCACAATAAATTTCCGCATACTAAGGTAATCTTTTTTTTTTTTTAATTGAAGCACTATTGACTTATCCAGCGGATCATCGTACCGCCTCACGCTGGCAGTTGTGACAAATTCTTCAGCCGGAGATTAAATTGCGTAAAGTCAACAAAAAGTAAAAATAAAAAAATGTAACGCAAAAATAATTTTCGTTTTAATTTTACCGCCCGCTTGCCAAGCTTGCCAAATTGGCTCTGTGTGATAGACACATAATTGTTGGCAATGAAATGACCGCAGCGCAAACAATGTATAAAATATATGCAAAGTATGCTTATTGCTTTTCGTCTGTTTTACGTCTGTTTTCTTATTGTTTGTCTTCCGTTGCAAATGATATTTGGCGCGCCACTTACTATATTTGAGAGCAATCACCCACACTTCGGTCGCGTGAAATGCGCCTTGCGACAATTTTTTTTTTTTGTTTTGTTTCGATGCTATTTTACTATTTTGTACTCTCGTGTACTCTCTCGTAACATATTGCATAGGGTAGAATTATCTTTTCCAGCAAACGGTTATTCGTAATAGCCACAAGTACAAAAACCATTTCAACAAACTTTTGTTTAAACCTTTCTTTTTAGCATTTTATAATATTATTGTGCTAATCAATGTGCCTATATCCCATATGTCTTCATTTTAAGCTGTACTAGATATTTTTCCTTTGCGATAGATAAATTATGAAGCTATCGAAATAAAACTTTTAATAACTGGTGATCCAACTAAAGCTACTTTTTTAAATAGCATTTTTTTGACCGATCACGCCTGATTCGTGTCAAGTTATCATATTATTTTTGTTCAGTATTGTTTGGCATTTCAGCATGGAAAGACTTACGCTTGAACAACGTATTGTTCAAATTTATTTCGAAAATTCACGTTCTGTAAAAAATGTTTTTCGTGCGCTTCGCTCAACTTATAGTCAACTTAAGCGGCCTACTGAGCATTCATTATTAGATAATATTCGACCGAATAGGCCACGTCCAGCACGCAGTGTAGAAAATATAGAGGCCGTAGCTGAGCGTGTACACGAAGACCGTGCAGCGTCGATTCGATGCCGTTTGCAGCAACTCGACTGACGTATGGAACGACTTGGCGCATTTTACAATTTTGGAGAGTTCAACCCGCGAAATTTTAAATTCCTATTATTTTCTGAACACACCTCATATATAATGACCGCCTGCAGGCAAACCTAGCTCTTCCTTACTTGTTTTCCATTACGCTGTCGCTAGTGCAAAATGCCCCAAAATTACTTGGGTAATGGTAAAATATTTTCTCCGCACTCTTTATCGTCGACGTGTGTTACACAATTTATTTGCATTAGGTCATAAAACTTAGATTCACACAACACATATGTAGGTATATATATAGCGATATAGTATATATAGTATTCGAATATGCGGAACACTGTCATATTGATATAATTATATTTTGAAGGCTTCTCATTGAAGGGTTGCCAAAAATTATCCGTTTCTATATTCTACATACACTTGGTTGTGTAATATTTTCAAAAAATTTCACAAATTGCATGGGTTAATTGATTAAATTCAAGAGTTTATAGTACACTCGTCATAAGCATAGGTGTTATATGAATTTCCTTCACTTTTTAATTATATTTTGTTTATTACCATTTATTGCGTTTTCTGTAATTTTTTTAACGTTCGGCATAATCAATTTTAGTTTCAATTTTAATAATTGAAAAATATCACACTCTGCCGAATCATGCCTACTCATTAAGTTTTGAAAGCCTAACTGGCTTTGATCAAAACTGTAATCAACACAATAATAATGATAATGGAATCAACAAAAAAATAAAAAATTTAATTATTTGTTATTACATATGTATATGATATCAAAACAGCTTGTAAGAAGGTATTTGCAATAAATTAAATTTTGCTTTTTATGCTACAATAAATTCAGATAATTGCATTAATTATATCAGATATTTTTAAGTTCACTGGAGTTTGATACTTTAATATAATTCGATTACTCGTCCACTGCAAAAATAATCGGACGAACGGAAGTTTGTTGCTAGTTTTAGAAAGAGTTTAGGAATATAACGCGATTTTGTGAATTTTTTCGAGCTTTTTGTCTCATAAAAGGTATACTCTCGACATTAAGTTCATAATTCGCTATAACGATTTATCGATTTCGTATTGTTATGAACTTGTGGAACACATATGGAAATAATGTTCCACTTATTCCATGAGCCAGTAAGAAATTAATTCTCACGCAGAAAAGACAATGACACACCCACAATAATCTAATAATATCGACAATGCTGGATATGTGAGCAAAAAGTACTAAGAAAAATCCTCTGAAAGCATTTTATGTATGAAAGCACGATTGAAGCTGAAATGCATTAACACTCGCAGCTGGGCGATAAAAGGGAACAAGATAGTGACAAATAAATTAATTTTAGAAGTAAAATAAAACTTTTACACTTCTGTTGCATAAACCGATCATAAAAATTAAAAAAAAAAAATTAGCTAAACGCTACAGTTTTAGCACACTTTAAAGAACTCACATTTTCCAAAAAGTTGAAAACAATTCCCAGCTCATCTACTTATACAAAAACACGTCTACAAACTAATTGCTCTACTTAAATATTTACATATTAATAAAATTTAAAGTCTTCAAAAATGTTTCCTATCTCAAAATTATTTAACTAAATAAAAATCTGGGTGTGTACGTGCTGAAAGGAAATATTTTTACAGACGCAACTGTTGTATTGTAATAGAGATTTGACTTGTCAATATTCAAGTTTATGTATTATATGTATGTATGTATATATAAGCATATAGTTATAGTTTGATATTTGTGTGTACTCATTTAATAACCAAATATAAATGCGTATGTACTTTCGCTTAGTTTACTTTTGTGGTTGTTGTTTTACTTTCAGTGCAGTAGTTTTCCAATAGTTCTATAATAAATCATATTAGTAAATATAACTTATATAGTTAAATTCAACTTTGATACTCATAATACCAAAAATTAAATATTAATAGCATTTATTAAATGCAAATGTTGGAAAATTTTTATTTTGCTATGAGATAAGTGAATTGACGCTGTTAGATTGTGGCAGTTATTCAAATAGCATGAAAAGTAACAGCGAATTTAAAGAATGAATTGCATTTATACAAATCTTGAGTTTAAGTACAGGGTGCTAGTTTTGTTTTTAAACTTTTGGAAATTAGTTTCAAGTGAATGTTTTTCATTAAAAGTAAAAATGATCAGTATTCACGAATATGGGAACATAATTTCCTTGTTTTTCTCCATATTTTGGACAATTTGCCTTCCAGAGCGGGATGTACCTTTGGTTACACTGATGATGTTTTTATTTGAAGACCATATAGTTAATCTGAAAAATTGTTCATGCCTTTTTGGAAAATTTCATGGTCGAAAGGAGGTCGAACAAATTCAGCATCGAGGCACAAGTAGATCACAAGAAAAAAAATAAATATTTTTTTATTGACAATTAATATGCGCTTGTTGTATCTTAAAGAAAAAATCGCTGAGTCAACTTTTTATAAGTATATTATATGGTCAGAATATATATATGTACCTATATATTGTACATATAAATACTTATGTGTATGAATGTACATAGATAAACAAATTTCACAATTCTTTTTAGTAAATTAAATATTATATCAATTGTCACAAGCGATTCCGTTCAGATAGCGATCGCTAACAACTAAGAAAATCAAGTAATACATGAAGACAGCAACAACAACTACAACAACGCTATAACACTGCTCTCTTACTGATAATGGAAATCACTTTTGAATAGACTGTAGCAATAATAACAAATAATAGATCGCAAGTACAGCTACTCGTGCTAAGCAAACAGAGCACATTCCCAACTAATACATACACATATGCATACAAATATGCAAATGAAGCAAATGGAGTCGCTTGCTCCGTGAAAGTGGCCTTAGCCTAAGTGAGAGTGCAGCACGCTCTGCTAACTCTACTTACAGCACTTCAACTAGTTATAGTCGCCATTTAATGTATCTCACTAACTCTGCGACTCTGGCTACTCGTGCTCCTAACGGCTACTCATTTGTATGCGTCGCTCGTTTAAACACAACACATGTCAGCAGCGATAAGTAACAACAACAGCTAACACAAATATTCACTACAGCAATATTTTACAACAATATTTTTTTACAACAACTATTTTTTTACAATAAAAAAGTTTTTTTTTACAACACCAACAACCTTTTGCTAGAGCTAAAAAATTTAAAACAGCAATGTTTTACAACAACAACAATAATGTTACTGCAACAATTTTTTACAACAACAACTTTTTAATACAACAATTTATTTACTACAACGCTGTAGTGTTGCTACTAAATTTGTTGTTGTTATTGTATTTCTTTCACTCTAAACGAAATGACATGTTAGTGATAAGCGGCGTGTTCCCTTTGTATGGGAACATTTGAAATTGTTAGGAGGCCGGCCTACGTTATAGCTAGTTTGCAGCAATCTAGCAGATAAGCAAATACTAATTTTAAAATACACACACTTGCTTCAAGCACGCACTTTCTTAGAGTCAAATGCGCTGCATGTATGTATATTTCAGCGCTCTCTTGGCCATTGATAACCACCTGGCTGCTGAGAAATAGGCCAGTTCATAGACAAGAGAAGATTACATGCTTGTGTGTATGAGTGTGCTATAAAAATGAAGAAGAAGCGATCAACAAGTGCGCGGGCACTCATCGAGTGTCAAATGCTTACTCTCACGCGCGGTTAAGTGTTTGAAGAGAGCGCGCGCATTGCACAGAGCGCAAATGATAAATGTCAGCAGTGTGTGCATATGCGCGCGCCATTGCTTTTTTTTTTTAACCGGCAGCGTTGCAGTTGTATATGTACAATAGATCGCCAAGAACTTCACGCAGCGCGCAGTCAACACACACACATACGCGCTGCGCTCTTAGCTGCCTGCATATCTGACTTTTTGGCTTTATTTTGTTGAGCGCATGCCGCTACATGCATACGCCTGTGTGTGCTAATTTCGCTCCGCTGCTGACCACTGGCCTTACTCACGCTCCGTTGCTGTTGTTGTTGCTTGCCGAGTGAAACTAGTCTCTGCAATAGCGCTCAGCCATGCGCCATGTGTATGTGGGTGCTTATGCGCGTACGCGTGCGTGTGTGTGTGTAACAGCGCCTCTGTCGCATTGCTGCTGCTAGCAGTTAGAAGCCGATGGCACCTCTTTTATTTTGTTACTTTTGCTCTTTGTTGTTGGTGCCGCTGTCAGTGCTGAGTTCGCGCGTGCATTTGTGTGTGCGCGCTGCTGTGTTGCGTGCGTGTGTATGTGCGCGCGCTGTTGTCCGCGCAGCACAAACGTACCCGCGCGCGCCTTTTCTGTTGTGATCAGTTTTATTTATATAAAAGCATTGCCAACACGTTCACTTCAAGCAGTCGAATTCAGAACGCTTCTCAAACGAGAACGCGTGAAAATTTAACGTTCTACACGCATCAAAGAAAAAACGGTACAGATACTCACAAAAGCAACAACAACACACACGCGGAAAATTTAAAATAGAAATTAAATACAAAATTCTCGTGATCGCGTCCAAAAAAAATATTTCACGAAAAAGTGATTTTCGATTTGATCGAGTAAGAAATCGCCGTCAATTTGTGCGCGAGTCTGTGCTAATCATCGAATGCAAAGGTTGTAGCAAATCAAATTATCAACAACAACTGCAGGCATTGCTATCAAAGTCAAATTGGTTGCTTGTCGATTTACGTCATCGGCGCCTGTTGATTTCATAGCTTTCGGCTTTCCACACGTTTTGTTTGCAGTGCTGCTCAGTCTAACGCAGAAAGCGTAGAAAAACGTGCGCGTGTGCTACGGTATTGAGAAAAGTCGTGGCAGAAAATAGTTAGCTCATCGACATAGAAAATATATACATATACCGCTTCAATCGAGTAGATAAAATTATCTAAATATATTTGTGCAACAATAAAAAAATACTATACAAGTGACATTGTGTATAGCAGTACTTGAAAGCAACATACAGCAACAACAAAGCGTTTTTTCATCAAATTCGTGCAAATTTCAACGCAATAACGGCAGCTGTAACAGAAAATATGGTGAAAAACAGGCGTTTTGAAAAAGGTAAAGATTGGAAACCCTTTTTCGAGTGAAAATATATTATACAATTAGTAAATATTAAATTTTTTTGTGGAAAAAATTACAAAAAAAATTGTGAGAGAAAAGATAATGTACAATATAATTTTTTAGTGATATCTATTTGAAATAAGCGTTCAAAATTGTTTTAGGAAATTGTTTAGAAAATATTTAAAAATTTTTTGTTTAAATTTCGAAGTTTTTTTTAGGAAATTAAAAAAATTTTAAATTTTTTGGTTCTATTAAAAAAGTTTTAAAATATTATTTTTAAATATTTTAATAAGTTTAAACCAGAACTTGAAAAATTTACTCGTTTTTTAAAAATGTATGAAAATATCACACCAACAACTGCTCAACGTAGTACTTTCTGGCATTAGCAAGCTTTTGTTCAAAATATTTGAAGCTCGCACATGGTTAGCAATTGCTTTTCAAAACTTAACTAGAAAACTAGAATAGAAATGTGTATATCGCGTATATTTCGATGTACAGATTTATTGTATCTGTATATTTCTTTCTCTTTGGGTTTTGTATGAATGAATCTGAAACTAGGACTGCAATTATATTGATTGAGTACTTTGTTGTTTCGCGAAAATTTAAAAAAACTTTTTTTATTAGCAAAAAAAAATCAAAAGTACCAAAATATATAATAATTATAAAAAAAAATATAAGAAACGTTGAAAAATAATAATATTAAAAAATTTTGTGCAAAAAAGTTTTACAAGGCTTTGAAATGGAATATATTTTAAATATGTAAATTAAATTCAATGATTTTTTTAAAGGAAACATATTTTTAAAAAACTTCCTTATTTAAAATTTAAGATAAAAGTTGTAAAAATATTTTAAATATTATTTTTAAGTTATTAGAAAAGTTTATTAATACACATTGCTGAAAAATTTTTGACAAATAAATACTCACAAAGATTGGAATTATAATAACTTTCAAATATATATAATGAATGCAAACAATTATTTCACAAGAAATAATAACTAAAAATATTTTTTTTTTGAATAACAATAAAAATAAGGTATACAATTTTTTTAATAATAATAATAAACAAGAAATACTGTTTTCTATACACATTTTCTTTTTAATTTTTTAAGCTTATAAGTTTAAAAGTTAGCAAAAAATAAATACTATTTTGTGGTATAACAGTATTTTGCGAAATTTCAAGCACTAATATAGTTTTAATTAATTTAATTTAAGTTTTTTAAAACTTTAAAGTTTATGGATGTAAAACTTTGCAAAACTAAACGTTGTATAAATTTAAAAAAAAAAAATCAAGAAATATTTAAAAACAATAACATTTAAAAATATTCAACATGTTTTTTTTTTGAAAATTTTAATTTTTAAATGCAATCAACACAAGTAAAAACTGTTTTATATTTATTTCATCAGTGACAAAATTGTTATGAGCAGTAAGCCCCAGCGCTTCTTGTGTATTAACTGTAATATAATAACAATAAATCTCTAAACAAAAAACTAAAAGAAATAATTTATTAAATAATTATTTTAACTTATGCAAACTTTCTTTATATATATTTATAATAATTTCACAAATATTTTAATTAAATTCGAAAATTCTTTAAACGCTAAAAAATGTTTTCAAAATCAACACCCAACTCAATCACCACACTTGAGTGATAAATACTTAACCGACACACGTGACCAAGTGCAAAGTACAATAGCATTTCAGATTTTTATAATCTCACTGCGGCGACAACTTGGAATAGGAGAATACTTAAGAATATTTTTATATATTATATATAAAACCATGCTGATAACCTTTTTCTTTATAAATACTTTGAAATTTCGGCGGGATTTTTCTCTATAAGCTATGGCGAGAATCTAAATAAATTTTCTAAAATGTTAAAAATGCAAACAAATAAAGTTTAAAATTAGCAGCATGAACAATAAACATTCAATATTAATATGTTGGTAATTCGCAAAAGCCGTCTCAACACGCTTTGTACGCTTAGCGAACAGCACGATCAATATCTCAATAATGTAAAAAGGGAAATAAAGAACTCTATGTTGAGAATTGAAATAAAAATTGTATCAAACGACAATAAAATATGCGCTTATGTTAGAAATAAAATAGAATGGTGTGTGTATGTGTTTGTGTGATAAACTTCAATACTCTTTATTTTTGTTTCTCGTTTTTAGAAAACGTTTTCAGCGCTCAAACATCGCTTTGTTTTTGTTGCGGCTAATTACGGCCGGAAGCAAAATAAAACAGGCAACTTATTTGCACAAAAACAAAAAGCTGCAGAGAAACTAGTGTTCAATAAACATTTACACAATGGCAAAGTAGTAATTGAATTGTGTAATGGCAATTAGACAAGTGGTTTAGGAAATGTGTTTCATAATATTGAGTAACTGGCGCGCAAAATAATGAAAGTTCGATAACTACTGTTAGTTCAATAATGTGGCTTAGTAAAAGTTTAGTTAAATGTCAATAAAAACTATTAATAAGTGAGATTTTTTTAAGTTTCAAAAGTCGCAGTTTGATTTTTTTTGTTGATAATTTTTAACCTTTTCTTGTTATGCCCTGAACAGGGTACATTAAGTTTGCCACGAAGTTTGTAATACCCAGAGGGAAACGTCGGAGACCATAAAAAATATAAACATAAATGGTTAGCATGATGAGCTGGGTGGATTAAGCCATGTCCGTATGTCTGTCCGTCTGTCTGTACATATACATACTAGTCCCTTAGTTTTTAAGCTATCGCTCTGAAATTTTGCACCTGTCCTTTTCTCACCAAGAAGCTACTCATTTATTGGTACGGCCGATATCCGATCACTATAGCATATAGCTGTCATACAAACTAAACAATCGAAATCAAGTACTTGTATGGAAAACTTTTTTATTTGACGTAATATCTTCACGAAATTCGGCATAAGTTTTTTCCTAAGGCAACAATATAATATCCGAAGAAATTCTTTAGATCGGTTCAATATAGCATATAGCTGCCATACAAACTGAACGTATGGAAAACATTTTCATTTGACGAGGTATCTTCACGAAATTTGGCATTTTTGAATATTTTTTATTGTATAAATTTTTTAGTTGGCAATATTTAGCATAGTATACATATAAGTTTACTTTACGCACACATTTCCGCTGTTTTCGTAAATTAATAAAATATTTGCTTAAAATCGAAAAAAAATGTACTGAAAATTTCTGCAATTTTTGGATTAATTTAAATTATTATTATTTTTTTTTGTTCCTTATCTATTTTAATAACATTTTTATTGAATTTTATTTTACTTTTTTATATATTTTTCTTATATACTTTTTTAATTTAAAAGTATCATTTTATTTATTTTATTTTTATATGGTAATTTTTTAATTTTTTTTATTTAAATTTATGTGCTAAAAAGCTTGCAATTTGAAAAACCTTTAAGAACCATCTAATAAGCTAATAACACGCACACGTTTTTTCTAAATTAAGCATTACTTATGTATTTTTTTGCACAATAATATTATTATCCCTAACTATTTTCTACAAGTCATTCGAAAACAAGTATATTGCTATATAATATGTACGTCAATTGCATTCAATAATAAACTTACTTTCCCGCACACTTTTCAGCCTGATTTCAGCGTAGCTTCCTGCCATTTCACAATTAGTTGTTGAGTGTATTAGCAAATATTTGTTTTTTTGTATTTAGAAATATCTATACGACTTTATGCATTTTAATTACACACATGTATATTTGGCTGTATATATAGGTACAAGTTATCGCGCCATTCAAAGCTATTACTCATTAGTATTTATTATTATCTAATATTACATGGCTCGCTGCTTTTTTGCTAACAATATTTTATTATACTTGTATGTAAGTATAAGTGCATATAATATGAATGAATATTGGCGTGAGCGGCTGACTGTACTTCCTTTACCGTGAATTCATTTCTACATGAGCCGTTATATCAACGGTAACTGATATGGAAATATACAACAATTAATTTCTAAATTGTGTATGACAATTACAATTAGAACCATCAAATACTTGATTGCTTACTTATGCTAATTGCACTTGCATACACACACACACGCATACGTGCAAGCAAGTAAATGCCTCACGTAAATGCACATAGCTGCATCTGTGTATACCTTTTCTGCCATAGCGGCCCTTACGCTGCACAATTGCCGTTATCCTTCAAGTGTAAATTAAGCATTTTCGCATTTTCTTCTATATAATTCATTCAATGTCTTCGCGTTTGGCCTCAATCACTTTCTCCTCTGCTGGCGATAGACAGCGATGCAGACAATAGTCAAGATACAGCCAGCCAGCGGCATCTTGCCACACGCACATACGCACATGCGTACAAATGCACTTTCGAAACTGATAAGTGCATATAAACTCATAAAAATGTCTGCAAACACACACACATACAAGCACACATGTGTAAATGTGTGAGCACCAGCTCAAAGTCCATTGAAATTCGTGCACCGGCCGACCGGCGTTTTGTCGGCTTTTCAACTGCTCGCCAGTTGCTTTGTTATTCTATTGCTCTTACTCGCTGATTAGCGCACATATACATATACACACAAACACAAATACATAAATATATGTATGTGCAGCATATTGAACTGGGTGGACAACAACATTCCACTGCAGTCAGCACGTGCACACATCATGTGCTTGTGGAAGTCGCTAGGAGCGTGTTTGTGTGTGTGCGTGTGCGTATTCGTTTTTAACGAAGCTACACTAACACATGTTCAATTGCGGTAAAAAACTAGTTTGTGAAACATGTGTTCTACGAATTTCTATGCATACTCGAATAGGAGTGAACGCTATGGAAGAAAACGTTCATTACTAAGCCGACTTTGTTACACACCATATAGACATACATATGTATATATACTATATACTTGTATATAAAGTGTATAGTTTACATGGAATTCTTTTTGATGTTAGCTGTTAGTATATTTATTTGCTCATAAATAAAAGATAAAGCCTTACATACTGCACTGAGCTA